TTAAAGGAACCCCAGGTCCGCAGTAGTAATCAAGGTTTCGTTTGGGGTCTCCGGGTTGCCCAAAGCGAATCCCGACCCTGAGGGTCGAACTCTTTGAGATTTTCATCGTCGTTACCCAGACCCCGGGTTTGGGGTTTAGGGGTTTAGGGGTTTGGGGGTTTGGGGTTTAGGGGTTTAAGGGTTTAGGGTTTAGGGGTTTGGGGTTTAGGGTTTGGGGGTTTAGGGGTTTGGGGGTTTAAGGGTTTGGGGTTTAGGGGTTTAGGGTTTAGGGTTTAGGGGTTTGGGGTTTAGGGGTTTGGGGGTTTAGGGTTTAGGGTTTAGGGGTTTAGGGTTTGGGGGTTTAGGGTTTAGGGTTTGGGGGTTTAGGGGTTTAGGGTTTAGGGTTTGGGGGTTTAGGGGTTTAGGGGTTTGAGGGTCTAGAAAGCAGGCTTCCTACTTAAAGGGTCATGGGACTGAGTAACCAGGGTGATCATTAATTTCATTAGCTATACATATAAAGCTATGTCCCATGATGCTCCAGGTAATTCGAGAAAATATACTACTAAAGGATAAATTTTAGGAAGGATCCCGCCGGGGTCTGGGCAAACAGAGGCTTGAACATGTTGGGTTCGGGTCAAGGGTCTGGCATCCCCGTGTCGTCTTTATCGAGTTATATCACGAAGTCTGGTCTAACCTGCCAGTCTTCTAAACCCTAAACCCTACACTAAATAACTTACCGTTCCAAGGACCTGTAGAATGAAATCAGGTAAACCGCACATTCTACCTAAAGGGTCGTGGGACTTAGTGACTAGGGTTGTAATTAAGGTAACTATACTTATAACCCCAATTAGGGTACTTATAACCTTACTTACTACGTCCCATGATCCTCCAAGTATGCAAGTTCGAATCCCTGGATCTGACGAGTGGGCTGTTACCCTGAGGGTCAAGTAATCAAATCGTATATACTTTGGCCCCAAAGTATCTGTATAGGAGCTAGTTTAAGGCCAAAGTATATATACTATTCTACCCTAAACCCTAAACCCCAGACCCTAAACCGTACATGGACCCTTAGGGTTACAGGTCGATCTTCTTTGGAAAGCGAACCCGAAAGGCTTAAAGGTTTAGGCCTGGTGCCCAAGAACAACCCTTAGGGTGCTTAGAAATAGTTTTTTTAGTTTTTGGTTTTTATAATCCCTAAGAAACTGCTAAAATTACAATTTTTGCCAGGGTTCTAAGTTCAGCTATAGAAGCCCTCAGTCCCTAAGGCCTAGCCAGGCTGTTCAGTGGTACACTGTTTTGCTTTCAGGTTTCTGGGTTCCTATTATAAAATAAGAAGCCTAAAGAGTACATGCTTTTTCCCTAGTGGATCACTGAACAGCCTATCTAATCCTCAACTATAGATCCCAATAGTGCTTTCCCATCAATTCGAACCTGAACCCTGCTGCACTCTCTTGAGCGAACAGAGGTGAAGCTGGCTTAAGGGCCGGGGCTGCACGAACTGCAACCACAGATTCAGCGGAAAGTTAGAAGTTTAGGTGTTAAGGCTTGGCGGCTGCAGAAGGGCTTTCAGAGGAAGTTGGTATGGTCGTGTAAGTCTATATATATATATATATATATATATTTATCTATTTATTTATTTATACAATAGCAATCAATGTATGCATATATATATATATATATATACATATCTATATATATATATATGTATATCTATATGTAATCTTTTATATATATATATATATGCGTATAGATAGATAGGATTTGGGGTTTTCCTCCGTGGGTCCAGTATCTTTGGTTGAGGGTGTTGGGATGTATGCTTAAAGCGTCATGGGACTGAGTAACTAGGCTAATCATTGAGGTAACTCTTCTTATAACTACTCATATTCCCGATTAAGCTACTTATAACCTTAGTTACTAAGTCCCATGACCCTTTAGTGGTTACAGCAATATTTGTCTCGCTTCATTAAAGACTTGGGTATTCGGCTTGGTTTTCGAGCCGCTTGGGTTTAGTGTTTGAAGGGATCTACCTGTTGGTTCCATTCAGGTTGTATAGGGCTTGGGGTCCCGGGTTTAAGGTTCAGCGTCCAAGGCTACTGAGGGCCACGGGATAAAGGAGCCCCAAAACAGACCCTAAGTAGTAGCCTTAAGCTTGTCGTGGAGCCGCTTTAAGAATGCACTCCCAGTTTAGTTCACTCACAGGGCGTCATAAGGTTTCGGGTTTTTGTTCGGCATAGTTTGTTATTGAGACTTTGCAGTTCGTGCTGCTTTGATTTGCCTCGGAAAGCCACAGCGTCGGAGCGTTTTTCAAAGCATTTGCGGAGTGCTGGGTGTCAGGATACCCAGAGAGTCCACTTATCCCCTTAATTACAGGGGAATTGGGCCGGGGCCCTCACCATATAGCACCATCGCCCAGCTGGTCCAGAAACGGCCTTTGATGTGAAGTTGATGTTCTGAATCATATGTCAGAGTCATGCACGCTGTCTAAGTGCCGTAGCGCAACTCGAGGTTTGCGGATATTTTGCACAAAAGTTGCACGCACATCGCAAGTAATCTAGCCCCTGTATGACGTAAGACTTAAAACCACCAAAGCCTTGCAGAATCCCGTACAAGCTTGAGGAAGAAAGACTTGACGCCCTACTGGCCTGCCTGTAGGGAAAGTAGGCCTTAAACAGAAGCATTACCGGGGCCTAGACTAGGGTTTCGGGTATATTACGGTGTATGTACGTACGTGTATACTGACTGTAAGGGCCCCCCCCTATTTTGTCATTGAGGATCGTTGCAATTATGGCAACCAAATCGCAACCTGCGTACTTCCCATAGTCCTTCACACAGGACGTTCCTTATCAACCTTTCGTAATCCCTTATTGAATCATGGTAAGACCGCTGTAGCTGAACCCTGATTATAAGACCCTGTGATAGAACTCCTATAGGTGCGTCTAATGCATAAGCTTGAAGAACGACTATTTGCTTAAGAACCCCCAAAAAATAAAAAATGTATTCCTTATAGGGATAATATAGGGATTATCATTTTTTTGGGGGGGTTCTTAAGCAAATAGTAGAGAACCTATGCTATTCCTTTGGGCTTCTTGATTTTTTCCCGTACCCCAAGGCCTTGGTAGAATTCGTAACGCCCTCTGTAAACCCTAAACCCCAAACCCAGAGGGTCCAAGTACTCAAACAGTAGGGATTTAGATCGCAAAATCCATACCCTCAGTGGCTTTTGGACCTTCAAACCTTACTATTTGGCCTCAGGGAAACCAGATCCAGCCTTCTAGAAGCCTGTAAGCAACCCGTATTCTTGGCCCGCGGGCACGCATGTTCAGCCGTTCCTGATATCCAATTACGCCGGTGGAGCCGAGCAAAAAGTGTCGTGTTCGGGGTTTTAGCTTGAACGCATTATGGGAGAGTGGGTAGAGCCCACGGCCCACTGCCCACCCACCGCCCACAGTCCCCAGCCCCCAGCCCAGCCCAGCCCACAGCCCCCAACAGCCCCACCCTATCAATTTCTGTAAACCTATCTCCCATCTAAACCAGAGCCCTAAACCCTCCTAAGCCCTGAACCCTAAACCGAGCCTTCCAAAAAAAAAACAGCCCTAACCCCATCGAAACTCTAAACCCTCAACGTACCACCGACCAGGGAGCCCCTCTTCGCCATGGAGGACCTGCAGAACCTCTCGATTGCCGATCTTCGGGCGGGGCGGAGGGGTTTTAGGGTTTAGGGGTTTAGGGTTTAGGGTTTAGGGTTTAGGGAGGGCTTAGGGTTCAGGGCAGGGTGCTTTTAGGGCTTAAGGCTTTTAGATGTTTCTGGGAACTTCAACTATGCTCTGAGCCATTGCAAGGGTATGTTGAGCGGCCTAAGCCCTCAACTCTGGATGCTTTCTGCGTATGAGGGTTATGGCAGTGTTGATGCCGCTCATAGGATTTTTGAGTGAGCAGGGCTTCCAGGTTTTAGAGTACAACGACTGAGGGTTTTCATATTGTGGTGTTTCATGCGGGCTTGTTCTGCCGGGCTCAAGAGAGGTTTGAGGTTTAGGGTTGTAGTTCAACGTTTAAGAGTGTAAGACAGGTGCCCTTGTAATTAGGGTGGGGTACGGGCTGGGTGTATGCTATGGTGTCATTGTGCAACGGGGCTCTAAGGAATTGTACAGTACACCCTAGACCTTAAACCGTTGTTATGGCCAAGTTTAAGGTTTCGCAAGACCTACACGGAGCTGAACAATCGAGCCCTCCCCAAGCGATGGGCTTGGGGTATGCGGTGTAAGGCTTAGGGCCGGAATTTCAGGGCTTGTGGTTCATAGGGTTTAGGGTTTAGCGCTTGGGGTTTATAGAGTTCCAGAGATGAATCTAATATTAAAGCACTCAGACCCCCTGGAGGATCTAGAAAGTAGATCCCCTGATTTGTGGCCCTAAACTACTAAGGGTACTTTATAGGAGCCCCCATTAATGATCTACTTTCTGGATCCTTCCGGGGGTCTGGCTACAGGGTTTGGGGTGTAGGGTGTTTACACGTGTTTACCTAGCCACAAGGAAAGTTGAAACGTGGGATGAAGATGAGCAGTACGTACTGGGATTTCCTATACTCTGCAGAAGCAGCATGAGGACAAAATGTTCCACCCTAAAGCCGAAACCCTACACCCAAAATCCCAAACCCTACCTAGACCCGCCAGAACCCAAAATAAAGTGGGGCGCTATGCGGGAACCGCGTTCCTGGAGGGTATTCAATAAAAACCGCGTTCTTTGATAGAGAACCTGGTTTTGGGGATGAAACCTACATTCTCATCTTCTTATCAGAGATCGATTCGTGATGATGGGGTTCAGGGTCAGTTCTTATGGGGTTCAGAGACATTCGCCAGCAGTGCTGGCTCGAAAGCTGGCCGTCTTTTGTCTCCAGATCGCAACGAATGCGCCGCAGCCCCAGCAATCCTGCGGCATGTCGGTTGATTGATGGAGCATGGAAGCCGTTGTGGGATTACGCAGTCTTTTTCACTCGAGGGCTAGGCAGGCATATAGCTGCTAGCATCATGGGCACCAACAATCGGTGCGATGTTTCGGGGCTTGCTGCTCAGTGGGAGAAAATCGAGTCGGTTCGTGAGAGAGTGCGTGGGGGAGGCTTCGCGGTGGAACCTGTAAATCCCGATGGCAGTTTGGATGCTTCCAACAAGTTGGCCATCAAGAATATTGATGTTTTGATCATGATCTTGGTACGTATGGCTGACACAAAGGTTTTGAAGGTTCCCGACATCGAACCTCTTCGGACCTCTGTTGGGGAGCTGTATGCTCTTATGAACCGAGAAGTCGATGCAGCTCGGATCGACGATGATGCCTGGGCTTTGCGGCATTTGGCCGGCTTTGTTAAGCGCAAGGCCCAAAAGAGCTTGGTGAGCCTGGCTACTCGCATGCACGACTTCGTCTCGTTCTCTCTCTCTCTCTCTATCTCTTGCTCTCTGTCTCTTTCTCTCTCCCTCTCTTGTTTCGGGCACAATACCGTCATCAATAATTAAGACCTTCAGCTGAGGACCCTGATTTTCAAGACATGTGTTTGGTCTTGAGACCCGAGCTCCAGGAGAGCTACCACCAACACCAATAGTCATGTAGCTCACAAACAGCTGCTGCCGAGATTGAGCCACGTTGTTATTGCAAGGAGCTGGTGGATGAAATCCGTGCTCGGGGAGAGGATGCTCTTCCCATGACGGCTGAAGAGGCACAGGAGCTGACCTTTAACGAGGACAGCGTGCAACTTGAGTAGTGCATGGTGGTTGCACATGGCAATTATGAGAGTCGAGCTTTCCTGCATGTGCTGGAGGACACTGGTGCTGGGGTGGGGCCAATTACTGCCCCGGAGTCGTCCGATGCGTCCCCTGCAAGCCCACCTGCTGCGATCGTGGCTACCACCAGTGAGCCCTCCACGATTGCACCGCCCCCTGTAGCGACGACGATTGCACCGGTTGCACCCGCACCTGTGGCGACGACGATTGCACCGATTGCACCCGCACCCGTGACTGTGGCGACGACGATTGCACCGATTGCACCCGCACCTGTGGCGACGACGGTTGCAAACCCCGACCCGACGACGGTTGCACCGGCACCTGTGGCGACGACGGTTGCGCCCGCCCCTGTGGTAGCTACAAATCCCGTGATGCCGACCACTCCGGCTGAACCTACCGAACCAGCTGCAAGCCCCTCGCATTAATAGCATCCAGTGGTGATTTGAGCATGTAGTCCATATTCATCTTACGATGATGGCTTCGATTTCTTTTCAGGTAATCCCCCAGACCGCAAGTTCCAGCTGAACATGCTTCGGGAGCAGCTGAATCAGATTCTTGGCAGGGACAAGACATAACCGATTCGGTTCTGCAGTGCACATTCAATTCAAGACTATTGAGGATTCGCTTGAAGAGGAGGACTATCGATCCTACCAGTCCTGCTCCAGAGCCGCTTCCAAGCCCCACCAGCGCTGCCGGGTCAGCTTCGCCGGTCGCAGGACCTGCATGTTACTATCAGGCCAATCATGAAACTTAAGCTCTGATGTTGAGTGACAGCATTCGATTCACAGGAGTTGGTCGATCGGAGTCGGCTGAGGAGCTCGTGACCCCACCTCCGAAAGTTGCGAGAGCATCAACAAACCCTGACACTTGTGAGACTCAGCAGATGGACATCTCGATGCTGGAAACCCCGGACTTCAACAAACCGGAACGACAGCCGAGCACAGATGCTGTTGATGTCAAGCGGTGGAAGTATCAGCATCCGAATGAGGCTGTTCCGCCGGAGATTAAGGAGGCTGATGCACCGGCACCAACTTTGAGCCCACCTGAGCCCGAGCCTTCGCAGCTGCCGCCTCAGGAGGCCTGCAGTAGCTGACCGTTGTAACCTCAGTTAGTTGGGCATCATGACATGCTGTGGCTAGCAGACATGCACATTCTGATTGTGTCTTCGATTTTTTCTGGCAGGTGTTTGGCCGCCGCCAGCAGATGGGTCTCAGGAAATCCATCAAAGAGAGGAAGAAGAACAAGAAGAACGCGGTGGCCGAGGATGATGCGGAGGAGGACTGTGCTCCGAAGAGGGTTCGCCGCAAAGGCAGCAAGTCAAAGCTGAAGAGCCGCGCACGTGGCTTGAAGAAGCTGAAGAGCATGAAGGCCTCGAAAGTGGCGCTGGAGGAAGAGGAAGAAGAGGAGCAGGAACAGGAGGAAAAGGTCGAGACTGTCGCGAGCTGGAGGGATGCTCCAGAGGTTCGCGCAAGGGTCAAGACATCGGTGCCATTGCCGAAGTGCAAGGCGGCGGCCAAGAAGGGCAAGCGAGCCGAGAAGAGTGATTTCGATGCCCACCTCGACGAGTTGGCCAAGGAAGAGCCGACCTCGAAAGCTTCGAAGGGAAAAGGGAAAGGCAAGAGATCCAAGAAGGACGACCAGGCCGAGGATGGTGCCAAGAAGCCATCGGGGAAGGCCAAGAAAGCCAATAAGGATGCCGGCGAGGAGCCTGCTCCGGGGAAAGCCAAGAAGGCCAATAAGGATGCCGGCGAGGAGCCTGCTCCGGGGAAAGCCAAGAAGGCCAAGAAGGATGCCGGCGAGGAGCCTGCATCGGGGAGGGCCAAGAAGGCCAAGAAGGATGCCGGCGAGGAGCCTGCGTCGGGGAGAGCCAAGAAGGCCACGAAGGATGCCGGCGAGGAGCCTGCGTCGGGGAGTGCCAAGAAATCCAAGATTGATGCCGGCAACAAAGCGAAGGTCACGGGGCATGCCGATGATGAGACGAAATCCAGGCGGCCTACGAAGAAGGACATCGAACAGGCCACATCCGACAAAGACGACGTCGAGTACATGCTTGAGTATGCTACATCGTTCTCAAACACGAACGACATGGCCAAGCTCAAGAAGGAGGTGCGCAATTGGCTGCCAGCATGGACTTTCGTGTACCCGGACATCTACTGGACCACGGGCCAGTGCGGCTTGATCCTTTTGTGGAGTGACAAGGGTGGCAAGAGACGAAAGACCACGGTGGGCTCCTTCTCCTTCGGTGGGAAGCCTACCCAGCTCCTTGTGGCGATCTCTTGCAGCCTCTTGCTGGTGTCTTGTTTCGATTGGTTTCACGTGTCCAATTCATGTTGCGCCTTTTGCTCCTGCATCAAAACCCAAACTCAAGTTTCTGACTGCCGAGGCTTGGTATATGGAGGACCAGAACATGTACCAGGCTGGATCCAAGGAGCTCTTTTCGAAGGCTTGCTCGCTCAAGGCGTCAGCTCGCCTTGCTTTGATGCAGTTGGGTAGCGCTGAGGTGCCCGAAAAGTGACTAGTCTAGTTCCGATCCATGTTGGGACTTTTACTGGAGCTGTCGATGCACAGCAGATTGGTCAGGGAAGCAGCTTTCGCGAATTGGCCTTGATGTTCACCGCAAGCTTTGCGTATATTTTGTTTGCTATCGCTTAACCTACTAGCCCGCTACATCTACTTAAGGTTTGTAGCAAATCAATGCATCCTCGGAACAGTGCACATCAAGATCCAAAGAAAGTGCTCTTTGGGAAACCTGTCGTTGCGTGACGGGACCTCAATCCCATTCTGGGGGCTTCAAGTGCGCGAGCAAAAAGACCGAGTGCTTGTTCTACCCTTTGCGGATGTCCTGCAGATTGCTGATCCCAGAGGGAATATTCTGATCCGGCATTTCGACCCATGCAATTACGTCTTCTTCAAAGCATTGTGCAGCCCAGGTCACAACATGGATGCCTCGGCCGAAGATCTCCCACGCGAGGCGGGCCCGCAAAAGAATCGCGAAGAGGCGCCGTGATCCTGTCATGTTTGTATTTGGATTGGTGTCACAGAGGTCTATAGGGTCGGCCTCAGTCTGCGCTGAGATGCTCACACAGACACATGTGCACATGTCGTGATTGGTTCTTCAAACTTAAACTTGGAATGATATCCGAGCTTTTTCTCTCGAGTAGTCATCTGGATTGGCAAACCATGGCTTTGGAAGACGAGCTGGCCTGGAAGCTGCTTGCTTTAGGGGCACCGCGAGTGGCTTGAGCGAACATATTGTAACGTTGGCTAAATCCTGTCTCGTGCCGCAACAAACGCTGCCAAATTCTTGCCTTCTGCCCGGCTTATCCCAGGAGTTCGTGAAGATCGTGCTGCTTGTGATTTGGTCCGAGGGCAGCCTTTACAACCTTGCCCAGGCAAGGTCGGCGGGTTCGTGTGATGTGTGCCAAAGCAAACCTTGAAAGCCCTCCCCGTGCAGACCTTTGAGTGGCTGGAGTTCTTTGCTGGAGCTGCGCGATGTACATCCGAAGTCAGAACACGTGCAGCTGCCGCTGCGAAATTCGATCTGATGTACAACAAACCCCGCCAAGGACGTTCGAACTTCATGGACATCAATGACGACTCGGGCTTTGTGTGCCTTGTCCGGCAGTTTCCATAGCAGCCCAGGGTCATTCCTTCAGCAACCACGGGGACACGGGGGCTTATATTAGCTCAGGGATTTAGCCGTAAATTGTGGGGTTCATTACGATTATAAATGACTACAGCAGATATACTCTTGGCAGTTCTAGTACTACTGCCACTATATACCACTGCCACTACGGCTCAATTCCACTACCGCTACTGCTGCCGCTAGCACTACCATTACTACTGCTATTGGTGGTGCTACTTCTACCACCACTCCTGGTGCTGCTGCTGCTACTACCACGACGACAAAGGTTTGCACCACCTCCGCCACCATCACCATCACCAGCGCCACTGCTGCCAACATCAATATCACTTTGTCACGACTACTACGACAATACAAACAAATATGCTATTGCTACTGCTGCTACTATATATAGCTAGCTACCTCTACGATCTCTTTGTTGTCCCTGCCTGAACAACAAACACAGTAGGCCGTGAAGCCTCCAAGGCCCGTAAAGACAAACCCGACACGATCCCACGCAAGCTCGACAGCAGGTTGTGATCAGTGGTTGTTTTTATTTTGGGATGGTTTTACGAAATATAGCTTACGTTATTTGTTTGCGCGGTTTCTTGGTGTACGTTTTGCGGGCTTCGGTATATAGTTCACTTGAGTGTTACAGGTAAGTACAGTCTTAATTGAACCCAGATCGAAGTGCCGAGCTTGTCAAAACCTTACACCACGTACTCCCCCAGAACCCCACAACCAGAAAAGGTCCAAGGTGCTACGTAGGGCCGGGTTCCAGGTATGCAGGAATTCGTTCGGATATTATGGAACTAATTATCGCAGCCTGTTTCATACATATATATATATATATCCCATATCGCGTACTCACTTGTCTGGCCACATCCCCATACAACTAAGAGGGCATTGCCTGGATCTTCGGGATAGTTCAGGGGCTTCCCCGGCACAGAATGTTTTGTTTCTATGTAGCATATATAGCCTACAACATATGCAATGAAGCAGCAGTTGGAGATGCATAGACTGCTGTCCTTGGACGAGGCCTGGTATGAGGTTGTACACGTGTGTGTGTGTGTGTGTGTGTGTGCGTGTGTGTGTGTGTGTGGGTTTTATGCAGCTTGGGTGTTGGTAGCCTTTGTGTAATAAGGGTGGTCGTATTACTTCTAGTTAAATGGGCGAAGTAGCCGTGACTTCGTAGATCAAGCCTTTCTTTGGGCCCCCAAGCCACAAAACCTTCCTTATGTACGAATTATGTATACCGATACCCTATGCAAACGTTATGGAATCTCTTCAATTGTCGCGAAGACTTTGGTTTCTGGGCTCAGGCAAAGTTCGTCCTTCGTCCTAGTAGAAGCAACAGGGTTCGCAATATTCTGGTCGTCGTCATGTAATGTACTCGTAGTATATATATATATATATGTATATATATATATATATATATATACATAGTAGTCGTCGTCGTAGTAGTAGTAGAAGCAGTAGTAGTAGTAGTAGTAGTAGTAGTAGTAGTAGTAGTAGTAGTAGTAGTAGTAGTAGTAGTGGTAGTGGTATAGTGGTAGTAGCGGTAGTGGTAGTGGTCGTGGTCTTGGTCGTGGTCGTTAGTAGTATAGTAGTAGTAGTAGTAGTAGTAGTAGTAGTAGTAGTAGTAGTAGTAGTAGTAGTAGTAGTAGGAGTGAAATGGGAGTAGGGGTAGGAGTAGGTGTTTTCGTGGTAGTAGCAGCAGCAGCAGCAGCAGCAGCAGCAGCAGCAGCAGGAGCAGCAGTAGCAGTAGTAGTAGTAGTAGTCGTCGTCGTCGTAGTGGTCGTGGTAGTCGTAGTGGTAGTAGTAGTAGTAGTAGTAGTAGTAGTAGTAGTAGTAGTAGTAGTAGTAGTAGTAGTAGTAGTAGTAGGTATAGTCCCAGTTCATCCGAGGCTGGCCGTCGTGTTCCTGCTGAAATGCATCCCGGGCAGCTTCGCCGTGTGGTTTGGCATCAAGTGCTCCTCGTGGACTGCCATCAACGCAGGAACCTCGAAGAGGAGTTATTGTGCCAGCCTAGGGGACCCCACGAAACCTTCGGTTCTGGATGGCAATATGATGATGGAAAGGACCACACAGGGAGGGTTCAGCTAGTGACTGGAGTACTTGTTTTTTACTCAATGACAGCTAAACACAATTCGCCTTTACCGTACAGGTGCGCCTGTCTACTCCTCCTAGCAGTTGCGCTCGGGGGGACCTGGATCTTGGAACAGCCTGGGAACTCGTCCATGGAGTTCTACCCGGCCTTTAGACATGTTCTTTGTGGCATGGTCCGACAAAGCGGCTTGCGGGCCGTTCAGGGCTTAGCTACACTTAATTGCTGCTGCAAGGGTTCGAACTAGAAGTGTGAATGTTAGCACGAAATATACCCAATTGTGGAACCCGCCGAGGTTGTCCGAGTTGGCTGGTGGATGGGTCTTTATGGAGGACACACTGCCAAGAGGCAGTACGCCTACAGCAATAGTGAGTTCATTCGTTGCCTGGACAAAGGTCCTTTGAAGAAGGAAACCCGCAAATCCCTCAAGAGCAATAAGAATCCTATTGTCAAGCGCAAACGTGATGCTGATGGCAATGAAACATGGACTGGCACCAAAGCCTTGAAATCAACGGAGCTTCTTGTCTTATATATGATCACGAACACACCACTTCTCCATTTCCCTGATTCCATCTAACCCGAGTAACTATATTTAGGCAAAGCCCAGGCCCCAAACCAACCCAAGAAGAGAATGCTCAGGAACTATCCGGTGAAGTTCGCTCGTGCTGTGGCTGGAATATTCGGTGACTTGAAAGTCACTGGCCGGGGCTGCCCGAACTTGCCTGACCCTTTGCCTTCGGCTCTCGAATCTTTTGCCAGGGATCCAGATAGTGCCGAGGTGAATGAGATTTTTCAGCATGTCGGCCTGGTTTCCGTTTACAATTATCTTAGAGGAGGCAAAAGCCTCAGATTGCCGGTTCAGTGGGCGCCCTTTATGCCTGCTCCACCGCAGAAGCTGCAAAGGTAGCTGTGTTCAGGGGTCGCTTCAGAGCTTGCTGGCTGGAAGTATATCAGTTGTGCTAGACTAGCCAAACAGGCTTACGCGTTATCCTACTTTTTAAACAGTTAAGTATAGATTTATATACTTTTAATATATTTTATACTACTAGAAAGCAGGTTTTTATATGTAAAACCCATAATCACCCGTACGGAACCCGTATTCTTCCCGTAACAACCCGTATTCCCTTACGCAAGAACCCGGTTCTTACGCAAAACCTACTTTTTGAAAACCCATATTTAACCCATCGGAAACCCATAAAAAAGCGTACAAAACCCATAAAAAGGCGTAGTGCCAAAGTAGGGTTTTATAGGTTGTATAGTTTAAGGATTTACATGGTCCCCGTAGACACTACATCAAGCTCGTATGGAAGATGGCCTGGCCCGCAAACCCCACTTAGCACACACATATATACTCCTGCTGCTATCCAAAGACAGAACAACCCAAAGAAAGGACGCGTAAACAAACCAAGTTGGCCCCGGCCCATCCCAGTCGACCTCACGTGCGCCTATGACATATGATCCCGTATAATCCCCAACTATATATATATATATATATATATATATATATATATATATATTAGAAGCTGCCCCCACCCTGTAATAGTGATCATAAGGATTATATTAATATTATATTAGGGCCCTACTATATTCCTACTATACCACTATTATACGGGGTGGTGGCAGCTTCTAATATATATATATATATATATATATATATATATATACACACACACACTATGCATAAGCCTATACTACACGTAGCGCAGCTTGGGGTCCGGTGTCCTTTACTCAAGGATCTGTGTGGTCTCGAGGTCCGATTAATGCAGTCCAGCCGAGCAGACCGATTGTGCGGATGGGGTTCCGGGTTCCGTGCACATCTGCTACCGAGGAACTGAAGTGTTCAAAATTGCGTCTATGCAGTGCTGCTGCTTGCGTTTGAATCACCTGCATGGGGTCTTGGTCTTGGTTCCCGCTTCGCTGCACATTCAGGTCAATGCTTGTGTGTACTGCCTGAACTTAATTAAGGCTCCCAGTGCTGTCTGAGTCGCGAAGGATATACACGTATATCCTCGGTCGGTGGCCATGTCCAAGCAATGGAGCTGTGCGACCTTGGGAGAAGGGTTTCAGGCGGTTCTTGCAGAAGCCTACTCAGACCATGATCTCTTGATACAAGAGCAGCAGCTGCTACGAGAGATTGAAGCTCCCAGTCCGCACAAATAGTCTTCACTTGATTGACTTCAGCATACTTGAACGACGGCAGTTGGGTATCGACGTGCTTGCCAACCATACAGTGAAGATGTATCACATATACATGCAGCAAATGTAACAATTATGTGTAGGTGCATGGAACTTGCCACGCCCATCCTTTCGGCGAGGCTCTGGAAGCCCTGGACGCAGCCCCTTCGCCAGCTCCGCCGCAGCCGCTACCGCCCCAGCCGGTACCGCCCCAGGATCCCAAGGAACCTTGGATTGCTAATTCAAACCATTCAGAAGTTGACGCATGTCAGTGTTTCGCAGGCTTGGCTTGTCGAGCATGACACGACGTGCTGTGCTTTTCGAACATGCGACAGGAGGGTGCCACTGGAGTTGAGGAAGATTCAGAAACAATCGCAGCGAGCGCTCTTCAGTCGCAATACAGTCTAATCGTCTGCGATGCTATGCAAAAACTTGATGTACCATGTATATATACACATGTTGCTTCCAGGAATCCCAGCTTCCCTCTTCGACTGCTACCCCGAATGGATCTTCCGAGCCCCTGCAAGTCGCCAAGGAGGATGAGGACTTCTAAGATATATAGTTTTCACTACACGCACGTAGTCGACAATTGCCCGCATGGTTTCTGCATACCAAGCCCCCGATGCGCAGGACACCGTTCCGGAAGCCAGTGAAGCAGCCGAGCCATCCGAGCAGGAAGAGGATCTCGAAAGGCCTGCCAAGAGACAGCGACGGCCGAAAACCCGACGCGCACTTGGACTGCAGCCAAACGATCAAAACTCCAACTCTTACGTATAGTGCCTGTTGTCTGAGATCGGGAGCACAGGAACTTCTTCAAGCTGCTGCCAGAGCCCGCCTTTATCGAATGGTTCGGCCCAAGAAGAAGCGAACCGACCTCGCGGCACCGAAGTACGTTTCCGACCGCTGGAACTCCGGCACCACGGCCAGGGATGAAATGACGGATTTGCTCATCCATTTGAATGGGGACAAGGACAGCCTCGCTCTCTCTATCTCCCTCGCTCTCGCCCTTCGCCCTTTGGAGCTGCTGAGTTTAATGATTGAAATTCTCTTCTTCGTCGCCTTTTCTCTCTGTCTCCATTTCTTTGTCTCTCCGTCTCTCTCTGTCTCTCCGCTGGGCACAAGAGGGGGAGAGAAAGAGCGAGAGAGGGAGGGACCAAAGCGAGCTCAAAAGCTCCGTCCACGCAAAGGGGGAGAGAGGGAGAAAGAGAGAGACAGAGGAAGCGAGAGAGAGGGAGAGGGGGAGACATAGAGCGAGATAGGGTGCGCGAGATAGAACCAGACCATATACTGCTTTTTTCGAGAAAGAGAAACCTGCACCGAGCAGTGCTGGATGACGGCAACCGAGCCTAATAATAAGATCAATCAACTAGATTTTTTGTATAGAATACAAACAGTTAGGTAATTGAACGTATATAGGTAGAAACTCTTATATGAATTCTATGTAATACACCGTATACCTAAAACTCTGAAACATTATACACTTTAGTGGATTCAAGATTCTTCAGTCATTCACAAAGTCGTTGGAGACAAGAGCATAGAACATAGCTGGACTGTTGAAAAACTCCGTTGTGCAGTGACGAAATGTACGTATCAAACTAGCCCACGCACCTTCGTAGGTTATCTTGAAGCCATGCGTCAGGACAAGTTCTTTGCCGAGCTCCTTCTCATCGTGAAGCGGGTGAAACGCTTTGAGACCAAGAAGGACGAAGGCTGGTATTCCGAAGGAGAGATGAAGACAGAGCTGGGCTGGTCTCCGCCTGTGCCTTTGGTGTTTCGATCTCTGCACTCCCCGCTTAGCTTGCTTGCAAGATGCTCCGTGAAACCGTAGCAGCAAAGGTCTCGGATTGCCGGTGCCAAGAAAGTGTGCGAGGCGGATCCCAAGAACCTGATCCGGCAGCTTGCTTCGTTTTGGGCTAATATCGTGTTGCGAACTGCTCCCATGTCGCAAGGTTTCGAAAGTGCTTGCCTGCATGCTGCCTAGGTCGAACAAATACGACGGGGTATTGGAGTACTGGGTCACCGTCAGGGAGAGAGCTGAGCATTGCGAAGCCCACGAGACCACTGAAGAGGTGAGGGATCGGAGGAAGGCAGCCCAATGCACTTAAGCTCTTGAAGAGATTACTTAAAGTCGGATATGTCTAGCTCAATACTGACACATTCTCTGCAGGCTGCTGCGCCCTTGGAGCTGGATGCTGACAAGGAGTTTGGCGACTTGTCGGCGGCCATGAAACGCTCCACCGCAACCTCGGCGCCCCAGCAGGCCAATGGCAGGTCATCGGTCGAGGCCTGCGGCAGCGGACTTCGCCCTCCGTGACAGTCTAGACTTGTGTACTCATATAAGTGCATGCACACCAGCTACCCTGTCTTGGCAGCAAAAAGCCACGGCGCAGCGGTTCCTCGAGAACCTACTGGCCAAGTCCTCGAAGCTCCGCAGCTTGATCAAGGATCTACGGGCCTACTCTGGTAAGGATGTCACTCAGTGCAACCCTCAGCATTTCACAAGAATCCAACAAGAGTCATACAACCGCTGATGCAACCCCGTCGATGCTAAGACATGCCTTCAGGTCCGTTACCACCATCGAGGGCCATCTGACAAGCATGGGGAAGGAGTATGAGCTGATCAACGATCAACTTGCGAAGGGAGAGGCCGAAGGCTACAGTGATGGGCTAGGACCTCAATTACGTTTGCGTTGGGCTGAACTTGCTCCCTTCCCCTGCAATGAACTACAGCTGTTTGCTCAACCCAACAACGCACATGTGATGCTTCCCTATCCCGATCGAGTCATGCTGTAAGGTGGTTCGGGGACATAGAAGCGAAGCTGCGGAATGCAACCTTTGTGCCAAGTGCCCAGACCCCGTGATGCTACTATGGCCAACCTATATGTGTGCTGGATAAAGCTCGTCCGTGCAAACCAAGGGCCAGCCGTGCGACTGCTTGTGAAGTACAAGTCAGGCAGCTTGGTATGAGATTCTCAGGATTGTTTTCGTTTGTGTGTCATGACATGCAGGGTTCGCTTCAACCATTCCACCATCTGATTGTAAGGAATGCCAAGAAGTTCTTTGCCAAGACTCCTGCTGCCGGTGCTCCAGCAGATGGCCCGCAGAAGTCGCCGGATCGCAGGAGAGCTCCAAAGGCCAAGGCGAAGGCAAAGCCTGCAGCCAAGAGAGGAGCCAAGTGAATGATTTTGTTTTGCTAGCCTTCGGCACGAGGTGCATGTGTAGCTTCGGAACACTTATCCAAAGAATCTTGCGTATAACTGTTGAGTCTGGCTCGTTGGGCTACCGATCGATATTGTGCTGATGGCTTCTGTCACAGACTAGCTCAGGTTGTGGTTTGTCCCACACCTAGCTGGAACTGTCATACGTGGCAGTTCTCAAAACTGCCTCATTTCATGAAATGATTGAGTGCTGTGTTAGCTGCTTTGTCACGGCTCTGCAACTAGATGGAGCTGCTGGGACAGAGTTCAGTCCTGTGGGGGGACACGGGAAGCAACCCAGTCCTGGCTGTTCGTGGCCAAATCTACGCAAAGAAACTTGCTCTGCATTCGTGGCCAATGTCATGAAGCCATCTTCGTCCTACTTGCCTCAACCATACACCGACCTCGCCAGGTCCTGGACCCGCGCTGCGGCAGTGGGCGCGAGCCGTCGGTGATGGAGTCTGCGCCCTGGAAAGCAGCCTTTTGGCCGACGTGGGGTTGTGTCTCGCAGCGTGTGTGGGAGTGGTCCGGGGCAACAAACATTGTGCTTAGCTTTGGCTCCGTCATGCTTGCACATCAGGACACGAGCACACGCAACATCCGTAAAGCCCGGTTAAAGCTAACAAGCTAGAGAAGCGCAGTATTTCTATATAGCACCGTGCTCAGCGCTGTACCATGGAAAGCCCAGAGCTGGAACTCTGGGACCTCTTGACCAGTCATCGCTCAGCCTCTTGATTGCACTGAAGTCAAACTGTATCGCTCTAGTGCACTCATAAACCAGCATGAGATGGGCTTATGCTCCGAGGAACATGAAGGCCCTTTTCCATGGGAAGAACCCATGCCAAAGCGCAGTCGCGTCGTTGCCTTGAAGAATGATTCTGAAATCTCGCCTCCGCAACCCACAGACATGGGGCCTCGGACCAGCAGCACACCCAGCCATCCAGCTCGATCAGCCTGGCGCAATCATGTGTCTTCGGGAGTGCTTCTGGACGATGATGTGGTAGCTGATCTTAAGTCTGTGGACCAGCATGAACACATACACTGGCGACTGCCTCTGAGATCAGTATCAGCTGGTGGGGTCTTGGGACATTCAATACATGTTGTGTCTACTTTGCTGACAAGGCATGCTCCAATGATTTTCAAGGTGGGCTTTACTCATAGCCCAACTTGGCGTTGGGAAAACCGGCTCTATGGATACCGATGGCAGCGTGACAAATGGCAAGACATGTGTGTGCTGCACATCTCAGAGGAGGAGTGCGGACCAGCAATGTTGGAGGCGGCACTTATCGAGAAATTCAAGGGTACCGTGGCAGCACCTACTTCAAGCTGGCTGCATGCTATATCGCAATGTCATGCTTTGCACTTCTGACTGCCCTGAAATCCCTAAGACACGCCTGGCTGCAGAAACACCAGATCCGGCGGCGACAATGTGAAGCCGGACATGGACGCCTCAGTGTCGGTGTATATGACATACATCGTGTACAGAAGCTTCAAGCATAAACCAGCCTAGACCTGGCTTGCGCTTGTGATATCGTGATAATCAATGAAGTGACGACTAGATTGTGTTACATGAACGCATGTCTTCACTTTGCTGCTGCCTCTGACCTGAAAAGATTCTGCTGTGCTGGCATTCGGCAATTCTGCAATGCATCATGAGCATTATACATGTTGCTTTCCACTCGCCCTCCGCACTGTGCTGTTAATGATTTCTGGTTCGATGTGCTGAGGCCCCGTGTGTCACCGCCGTGCGCTCGGCACGGGCGGTGGTCGAGGAAGTGCCGGCAGCCGAACATACTTCAATCGGCCGCATTGCTCGTCTAGCTGAGAATGATTCGGAAGATGCATTTCATCGATTGGCCAGGGATGTTGGCTTGGCACTACCGGTTCAAACGAGCCATTTGACACTCTCCTTTGACAGTGTCCCTGCTTTGCTTCCCTCGGCCTGGCTGAAATTTATCTTGGCTAACAATCTGTTCTTCAGTCTGAGTGGGCTCACAGAGCCGGATCACCAACGGTCCGCCGGCCAATGGGGCTGTTTCTGGGAGCGCTACAAAGCATTGTTTCCAAACCACGACATTTTTGCTACCAAAAGTGCCGAGCAGCTGACAAGAACCTGCGCTCTTGTGTTACACGGAGACGAAGGCCGAAGTAAGAAAAAACTGCCATTGATGATTATCAGTTGCCGAAGTGTGCTCGGCAAGGGCTCCCATGTAACAAGTCGCGGTCTACATACTACTGAAGAATTCCTGAAGCAAGAGCTCAACATGCTGGGACATACGTGGGCAACAAGGTTTCTTTTGGCTACCATGCCCCGTGCTCTGTATGACGACGACAAAACCTGTCAGCTCGAGGAACTCTTCAGTCACATCGTTGCTGATCTCCGGGCTTTGTTTCGGGATGGCATGACGTGCCCGTTGACCGGCGAGACATATTACATGGCGGTGATCAACATCATTGGGGATTGGCCTTTTCTGGCCAAGGCTTTTAATTGGTCACGTACCTTCGGGAACAGTGCAAAGGCTGAAACATCGAAGAAGGATCCTGCTGGAATCTGTCATTGTTGCTTAGCAGACAGACCATCTTACCCTTTCGAGGACTTCGAAAGCCCAGAGCCGAGGTGGCGCCAGACTTTGAACCAAGTGCCACCATACCCGCAACCTCCTGCCCTCATGATGCTCCCTCACGATCGTACAGACGATTCGGGGTTTGCTGGCCAAGACTTATTCCACGGGTGGCATCTCGGAGCAGGAAAAGTCTTCATTTCTTCAGCGTTGGCTTTGTTGTCATACGAATTCCCCGGCAGATCCTTTCCTGCCAGATTCGAGAGCATGGAAGCTTCTTTTTTTGCTTTCTGCACTGCGCAGCGCGAGAATCCCTACATTAGGAAACTGACGCGGGATACTATTGGATGGCCACACGCCACAGAGGCACCGAGCGGCGGGTGGCACAAGGGGTCGACGACTTTGACACTCACGCGATTTTTCATTGCAGCTTGTGAAGAACGACATGCAAGCATTGGCCATGGCACTTTGTTGTACAACTGCTGGATGGCTGCTATTGAGATCAATGCCTTCATTTCAATGCTCCATCGAGAAAGGCTTTGGATTCCGTCAGCAAGGGCTTTGTGCATCGCGAACCGTGGTTTCTTGTTTTTGAAGATCTACGGGAGGTTGGCTTATCAAGCATTCCAGCAGGGTCGACCCATGTTTACTTTCATGCCGAATCTACACCGTTGCCACCACCTGATGTTTTGCATCAAGGACATGGCCTTACGAGCCCCGTTCGTTTTGAACATACTCACATGGTCATGCGCCATGGAGGAGGACTTTATTGGAAGGCCGGCGAGGCTTTCCCGACGAACACATGCACGGAAATTGATGCTGAGAGTCATGGAACGAGCGCTCGAGGCCTGCTATGCGAAGTATGTCGAGTCGGGATTGATTATTCCGAATGGTCAGCTCAGGCCGCGGCCCGGGCACAGCTCGCAGAGAGCGTGAAAAGAGCCCACATCAGCAGTGTGAAGCACAATCAACACAGCCCAATCCCAGAATCAACCCGTAGCTATATAACTAAAGACTCAAAGAGCCATCAAGACGCTTCAAGGATTCAAGAAACCCATCAAGCGAGAACCCAACAGAAATCAAGCCCAGTAGCTAACCCACCAAATTGTAAGAACCGCGTTCTTAAGTCAAGAACCTGGTTTTCCCAAGCACCCTTCTTTTTCCTGGGGTTTACAGGGTGTAGGTAAACCCTAAACCATAAATCCCAAACCCTAAACCCCACCCAAACCCTCAGCACCGTGGTGCAAGAGGCTATGGCCAGAGCAGAGCTCCCATCCCCGGATGCCCAGTGGGCACGGGTGGAGAAACCAGAACCAAAGGCGCGGAGGCTGGGGCTCCTACCGCCGTTGAGGCCGGACATTGTCCAAGCAGGGGAACAGTGTTCCCTTGGGCCCCTCTGCTGTGCTAAGTGCACAGGATCTTATGCACAAGCCCCGCCCCCGAACAGTGTTCCGCGGTGGGCTCCTTCCGCCCTGCGCGCACCGCTCTGAGATTTTTCGGACGGTCGCTGCGAAGTGCGTTTTCGTTTGAAAAAATGAAGCATAGAGCTTCAGGACCCGCAGTCATGGTAGGTGACCATGCAGGAAGGCCATGGAAGCTTGTCAAGACGTGTAGGTCCACTCCACCACATCATGCCGCGTCTGAACATGGCTCCAGGCGTCAAGCGTTAGCTTAGCGTTCGCTCGGCCCCCCGATTTTGACTTGAAGGGCAATGGCCCACCGCCGCCCGCCGCCGCTCAGATCCAGATCTTCCCGGCTACGCTCTTACGGTTTAGGCTGGTTTCTTAGGGGTACTTAGAAACAATCCTTAGTTCTTGATTGTTATAGTCCCTAAGAAACAGCTAAACTTTAATTTTTGCTAGGGTTCTTTGTTCAGTATAGGTTTAGGAAGCTGAGGGTTTGGGGATCGAAGTTCGAACTGCTGCAACCTCTATAGTCTTCAGTGCACGATCCCTTTCTAATGCAAGTACTAAACCTGAAACGGTAGGATTTTTAACGTTTCTATATCATGCCCTGAGACCCTGTTCTGATCATAAATCCCCCTATGCTCCCAGTGTTCAAGGTTGGGACCAGATTGGCCTCCTCCACCCAAGACTACAGTATAGTAGAAGCCAGCAAGTTGGAACATGGCTCAGGAGGATTAGTGCTAGGATCCCTTATACTTTACCTTCACGGCACGAGGATTCCAACTTTCTGGCTCCTACTATAAACCCCAACAAGCCGGAAACCGGATTAAAGACAATTCGTGCTGGGATTCCCTATACACTACTCCTCAGGATTGGGGATATTGGGTTTCCAACTTTCGGGCTTCTACTATAAACCCCTGAACCCAAGAGCCTCAAACTGAAAAGCCGCGAGAATTCAGAAGCCCTGAACAGCTTGAACATTAAGCTCTAAACCCCTAAGTTACTGTAAGGATCCTAAGCCCTGAGCAGCTTAAGCATGAAACTCTAAACCCCTAAGTTACTTTAAGGACCCTAAACCCTAAACACCTAAAGGTACCCCAAAGAGCACAAACCCTAGCCTTTCAAGGAGTAGTTGGTATCCCTGGTGAATCCCTAACTCTAGGGGTTTAAGGACTCATATGTTAAGGCTTTTGGGCCCAAAGCCCATACTATATAAGGCTTTTGGGCTATTTTGATCCCTAGGGTATTCCCTAAACCCTAAACCCCTAAACCCTAAACCCTAAACCGTTATTGATCCCAAGGGTAACACCAGGCCGTTCTGGAGCGGCTATCTGTATTTGGCGCACCCGACGATGACAAGGACGGGCTCCAGGGGAGACCCAAAGCTTCGGGGCTTAGGGTTTAGGATTTAATAAGGGGTTTAGGGTTTAGGGTTTACTTTAACCGCCAGAAATCATAACGTCCTTAAACAGGTAGTCTTAAGGATATGTAGGGTTGGTGCTCGTAGCGTTCATGACCTGTGGCCTGTGGCGGCTGTGAGCGCTTTTGCATGGCTAAAGTAAGGAGTGTTTACGATTTTTGGGGTTTTGGGGTCTGGGCTTGAGAGGTCAGGAACACGCCGAAATCCCACATTGCCATTACTTTTACATACTATGCAAACTCTTCGTTGACTCACCAACTCCTAGAAGTTTTGGGACACGAGGCGACACCTACCCAGACCACTGGGAGGATCCAAAAAGTGGATCCCTACTACAATTTAGGTAAAATAGTTGTTTAGTGTACATAGTTAAGGCTTAGTAGCTCAAAGCCGTCCTGTAAAGAATCCAATTAGGGGGTCCCTGTTCAAGTACCCTGTAGTGGCATTGGGTCCCAATTTCTGGGGTTTGCTTTTTTTCCTTCCGGGTACTTTGAGGATAATGGGACAGTTACTTAACAAGTAGGTACACGTAAGAGGAGTTATATGCAATTTAGTTGGGGTTCTCCTAACTACTCACAACCCTGCTAATAACCGACTTACAAAGCCCCTGATCCTTTAACTAAGCTGTCCATGGTTTCGGCACACTACCCTCACCACTGTGCCCATGAGTGCACAAGCAGGTAACGCTGCGGGTCTTGGGTTCCGTCTGCATTAATTTCTAGACTGCGGGGAGGATCTAGAAAGCAGGTTAGGGTTTAGGGTTTAGAGTTTACTGGAGAGTACCCTTTTAGAGTAGAGGGTCCCAAATTAGGCGTTCCACTTTGTAGATCCTGCCGTGGGTTTGGGTTTCCGCCCGGAGCAGGGGCGCACTTTGCAAGAGTTACCATCGAAACCTGGGCAGCCAAGTAGGCTTTGAACGCTAAGCTTTTCTCCTCAGAAATTAAGCACAAAGCAGCCTTAAAGTCCCAAATCAGCTCTAATCAGCAGCCCCTAAGCCCCAACACCCCGCAAACCTCATAAGAACCCGAAGGCTCCAAAAAGACCTTAAGGGTTTCAAGGTCTAAAGCCCTAAACCCTAAACCTTTAAGCCCTAAACAAAAAGCCACTGAGAGTATGGATTCTGGGACTCAGGGACCCAAAGTCCCTTAAGGGGATCCTGAGGGGTTCTAGAAGCTGGCCCTTTAATTACAAGGATTTATCAGGGTTCTAAAACCCAGAGGGTCCAAGTACCCAAATAGTAGGGTTTCAAGGACCAAGAACCATTCAGAGTATGGATTTTGGGATCTAAAACCCTACTATTTGGGTACTTGGACCCTCTGGGAAAGAGTACAGCCATAAGTACCGTAGTTGGGGATATGAGTAGCTATGAGTATAGCTACTTACCTTGTTGAAAAGCCCTAGCTACTAAGTCCCGTGTCATGTAAGTATACCCTAAGGCTCCATGTACCTTTATACTATACCCAAACCTCCGCAAGGATGTAAAAAGTGGATCCCTTGAGAGGCTTCCCGTAAAGTACCATTTGGGAGTTTCCGAAAATTAGGGGTACCTCATTTTGGGGGTCCTTATAAGAGGGATCCTACTATCTAGGGTACTGTATTAGGGTCAGGCTGGATTGAACATTTGAACATTAGGGTCCCCTATTTTCGGAAACTCCCATTTGAGACGAAGCCAAAGACGCAGAGGACCAGCTGCTTCGCCGCATGGCCGAGTGCAACCTCATCTTCAGCGATGAGGAGGTCTGAGCCGTAAGCCGTACTTAAAGGGTCATGGGACTTAGTATCTTATAGCCCCAATTTGGGTACGTATAACCTTACTTGCTAAATCCCATGATCCTCCAAGTAGCCCTAAGGGTCCAAGTACCCAAATAGTAGTAGGTTTCAAGGTCCAAAAACCATTCAGAGTATGGATTCTGGGACCTAAAGCCCTACTGTTTGGGTACTTGTACCCTCTGGGTAGGTTTAGGGGTTTACCAGCACCCCCCAACTACCCCCGTTTTAGAGCACAAGTACCCACCATTACGGACCAAGAGGCCTGAGAGCGGTTCAGAGTTTAGGATGTGTGGTCTAGGGCTTCTCAAGACCAACATCTACCCTTTCGCAGGGTCCCTACAACTTCCATACTAGGGTGTATAGTCAGTAGGTAATCGTAGTGTGAGGTATTGCCTGCAGCTGGGTAAGCTGGGGGTGTAATACGCATAAGTCTATGAATGAACTACAGGCGAAGTCTCCCGACCCTCCAAGTACTGGGCCAACTGCAAAGTTAGTATATGTTCCACGAACAGCAACCCCCTGAAACCTGACTTAGCATAAGCAGCTATCACGCTTGCCGCCCGCTTTAAAAAGGTTCACTGAATCTTTCGGTACCTAGACTAGCAAGCACAGTAGCACCTTAATGCAGCTGCACATCGTGTGTGTCCGTAAAGCCTGCGAGGCAGCTGAGAGGAGGCAGAGTGCCGTTCCCATGGAGACGGAGGAGGCCCGGTTCTATCGCATCGAAGATTCGCGGTTGCTGAAGAGGAGAATTTGTTTTTGCCAGTGGGGTCGTGGTTTGAGATCGAGGGGCTAGAGGTTTTTTGCGGAAAAGAGGATGGTCCTAGTAACGAGTTTTCGCAGGCCTATAGGTCTTACACATGGGCTTTGCTGGGAATTACGCTTTTCGGGGTTTAGGGTTTAGGGCGTGTTGCTGAACAAGGTCGTCCTTGCTCAGGTTCCCTTGTGGGCTCCCTTGAGGGTTTTGTAGGGTTGGACTCGGTCTTTCAGGTTGTCTAAGGAGCCATGTTAGAAACGCACAGGGTTGTGGAACGCATTTGGTATGTTGAATACAATGGGCTTATAGTCCACACTCTACACGTTTGGTGCACAGTTTACAGGTGTAGTCATAGGTGCAGTAGGGTTTTAACATGGGATTGGTTCGGGTTTTCGGGTGTAGGCGTGAGGCTCTGGGCCAATCAGGAGGAGCCGTTTGGGTCTCGGTTGCGAGGGCTGTTCCTGCTTGGAGGGTCGGGAGACTTAGAAAATAGTTGTTTTAGAGATTTATAAGTATCGTAACCCCTATTGAGGGTCCCTATTAGGGTACTTGTAAGTCTACTGACTACCTACTTACCAAGTCCCCCGACCCTCCAAGTGGCCCACTCCGCCTGGCCCTAAACCCTTAACCGTTGGGTGTTGCTGAGTAGGCCAGCTTTATTTGGAGGATCACGGGACTTAGTAGCTAGGGTTATAAATACCTTTATTGGGGTTATATGTACTTATAAGTATAGTTAAACTATACTTATAAGTACATATAACCCCAATTAAGGATAGTTACCTTAATTATAACCTTAGTTACTAAGTCCCACGACCCTTTAAGTATTTGCGGAAGGGCCAGAGGACCTTGCCTTGCACAGGGCATCCGAGGCAAGCCAAGCGAATTCCACGGAGACGTCGTTGCTGTTTCCAGGCTTAGTTACTAAGAGGGTCCATATACACTCCCATTATGGAAGTAGGTCCCAAAAGACCAGCCTTATAATGGTTTTGGGGCCCTAAAACTCCATAATAGTGGCATAAATGGACCCTTTGGACGCTTGCGTGTGCGAAGGTGTGGCTTAACTGAAGACAGTTGCTTGGAGGATCATGGGACTTATAGTAGTTCTTTTAGAGACTTATAATTAAGTACCATAACCCCAAGCAGGGGCCCTTTTCGGGTACTTATAAGTCTACTTGTAACGTACTTACTAAGTCCCCTGGGCCTCCAAGTGAGGATGCTCCACTGTGTATTAATCTGAGGGCTTCGGTTGTCTTGATGCGGCAGTTTCCGAAAATTAGGGGTACCTTATTTTGGGGTGCTTATAATAAGGATCCTACTGTTTAGGGTACTATACTAGGGTTCCCTATCTCCGGAAACTCCCATGTGTCACTATGACTATGAGGTCCGGACTTGCTTGCAAGCCTGCGAGAGAGCGGAATGCCGTACCGTTGCCACTGGTGTTGAATTTCGACCAAGCTTGTCAGCAGCCTGTCTGTGGCAAGCCCACACTGGGTTGAGTTGCGACCGGAGAGTTTGGCCAACTAACTTTGTGTGAACATGGAGCCGGAACCACCGTGACTCAGTCCCAGATCAATGAACTCCACCAAGAGACGCAGGGGAAGGGTTTCGTTTTGCAACCAGCACCGTGGACTCATGTTGTGCACCCTTTCGCACTCTGAGACTCAGACTACATGCTCCTTTTTCGAGACCGTACGAACCGATTAAGTAGGAAAGGATGCAGTGCGTACGAGTATCACAAACTTGGTTGGGAGGCAAAAGGAAGGACCCAGGTTATGCTGACGCTTAAGCATCTGTAACCTTGTCCATTCTCTGCAAAATGCTAGCAAGGCAGCGAACACCTCACACAAAACACTGGTCTCTGAGGTTAAGATTAGGACGCAGTTTCGACATCTTTATCCAAAAATCACTTCTCATTTGTCATTCAGGGCGTAGGGTGAAGGCAGTTTCGTCGAGTGTCTGGGAATACTTCTCTTGTGAGGCTCCTCCTCCTGCTGCGCAAACTGCCTCTGTGCCGCTGAACACCCGAAGCCCCGGGCCCAGATAAGGGCCGCAGCAGACATCAGGTGATAAAATCAGCCATCATAGGATCAAACTTCACGCCAAAGCCTTAACTAGATTGCAACCTCCATAGCTATCCCCAAATCCCGAGCCCTAAACCACGCACCCCTATAGCCTAGATGCCCAGAGGATCGAAAAAGTAGATCCGCTAAATTTGAGACCCCATACAACGAAAGGCTCTTCACGGGAATCCCCATTACGGGATCTACCTTCAAAACCCTGTAAATCTTGTAATCCCATACAAACCCTAAACCCTTCTAGATCCCTTTAAGGAATCCTACTATTGAGCCCCAAAGTAACCCCCATTAAGGGATCCTCCCGGGGGTCTGGGAAAATCCTTCAAGTTCCATGTTCCCAGCCCCAGGGCTATCCTACAAATGAAACCTTACTTAAAGGTCGTAGGACCCAGAGACTCCAAATATCTTGTTTTTGATGAATAGACCTTAAGTTATGGTAGGATCCATAATCTGATTTAAGGTATATTCCTTAGTTACGGGGATATTGGAGTCTCTGGGGACTTAGGTTATAGACAAGGTAGCTACACTCACGAGTTCTTATAAACCCAATGAAGGCACTTATGCGTGTACTTACTAAGTCCCATCAACCTGCAAGTAGACCAAGCCACACATTTGAATGTCCCAGAAGCGTGCCCTAACAGTCCAAGTACCCAAATACTAGTGTTTCGCGATCCAAAAACCATTCAGAGGATGGAGCTTGGGACCTGAAGCCGTATTATTCTAGGACCCGGAGTAGGCCCTTATTCCCCTTTTTTAGGGTTTAGGTTCCCTTATAAACCCCCTTTGAAACCAAAAAGGGCACCCTTTTTATTCCTAGGTTACTCTTAGGTCTAGCGGATTCTTTGGGTACTTGGACCCCTATTCTTACCGCTGGTTAGTAGGGAATGGAAGAATGATAGTAATAGTGGTTATAATTGTACCCCATTCCTCCATTCCCTACAAACCAACGGTAACTATTAGGGTTTATGGTGTTGAAGTTTAACTGGACCTTAAGACAAGAGACCTGCCCTTTTAGGGCTCCTGATGATCATGATTTCCTTTTATATGTTCTTACAAAGGCACGTTTTGGGGGGTTAAGGTAGGGTTGAAGGTTGAACGGCTTAGGGTCGAAGGTAGGGCCATCTGAGCTTGTCATCAACATACATTAATGAACCACCACCCAGACCTCCGGGGGAAGAAAGTAGAACCTGTAACTGTGGTAACTATAGACGAGACACGTAAGCTACTATTTGCTTAAGAAACCCCCAAAAAATAAAAAAATAATAATCCCTATATTACCCCCATAAGGAATATATTTTTTATTTTTGGGGGGTTCTTAAGCAAATAGTAGTAAGGCATCGGAGATCTGAAGAAGCCGCGGGTAAGAACCTAAACCCTAAAGCCTAGGGTCCCCGAGGCATCGGCGATCTGAAGAAGCCCACCTTGTTTATAAACCCTAGTTATTCGTTATTACTATAGTTTCTTTAGGAATTGGTTTTTTTCATTTCGTTCATATAAAACCCAAGAGAATATTTAAAATATGATTTTAATTATGGTTCTAAGGGGGGGGGGGTATAGATTAAGTCCCACCATGACCCTTTGAGCAAGGCATCGGCGATCTGAAGAAGCCTTCAAGCAGACCCAAAACCAAGACCCTTATAGATCCCTTATCGAACCCTCTCCCTCAAGGAACCCTTTAAGCTACTAAGTCCCATGATCCTATAAGTCCTTAAAACGGTAGGCTAATCGGGTTTCAGGTAGGTCTTAGAGTCCCCCCCAAGGCATCGGCGATCTCAAGAAGCCGACCTTGTTTATCCAGACCCCCGGGAGGATTTAGAAAGTAGATCCCCTAATTTGGGGCCCTATACTACCAAGGGTCTTAGAGTCCCCGCCAAGGCATCGGCAATCTCAAAAAGCCGGGTAGGAACCTAAACCCTAAAGCTTATAAACCTTAAACCCTAAACCTTATAAACCCTAAACTAAACCCTAAACCCCTAAACCTTATAAACCCTAAACCCTAAACCCCTAAATCCTAAGCCCTAAACCCCTAAATCCTAAGCCCTAAACCCTAGGGTGCCCCCAAGGCATCGGCGATCTCAAGAAGCTCGCCAAAGAGCTCGGCATCTCTTTGAACGGTTGCCTCGAGAAGGCTCTGCTGAATTTAGGGTTTATAAGGGTTAGGGTTTAGGGTTTACAAGGTTTAGGGTTTATAAGGGTTAGGGTTTAGGGTTTACAAGGTTTAGGGTTTATAAGGTTTAGGGTTTAAGGTTTAGGGTTTACAAGGTTTAGGGTTTATAAGGTTTAGGGTTTAAGGTTTAGGGTTTATGGTTTAGGGCATCCCTTTTAAGGGGATCTTTACGGGTTCTAGAGAGGTTCGTTTAACGGGATCTATAAGGATTCTTCAAGGGTTCCCTTGAAGGGATCCAAAAAGAAGTCTATAAGGGTTCCTTCAAAGGGATCTACAAGGATTCTACAAGGGTTCCTGTAAGGGATCGATATGGATTCTATAAGGGTTCCGTACTAAAGGGATCCATCAGGGGGTTGAGGTTTAGGGTTTTAGGGTTTCGCTCTTTCTTAAAGAGTAGGTTCTTGCTAAGGAGCGTATTTAAGTTACCAGAATAGGGATATATACCGGTTTTGTTAAGGGACCTATAAGGGTTCCTTTAAGGGTCTAGGTTTAGGTCGAGTGGTTCAAAATTTAGAAGGGCTGCTTTAAAGGTTGTATAGGGTTCTAAGTCGTGTAGGTTCAGGTTTTAGGGGTTCTTTCTTAAAAAGTAGGTTTGTGTTAAGAAATTGTTTTTAAATTACCGTAAACTAAGATTCCATTAAGGGCTCTACAAGGGTTTAGGTCTTAAGGACTTTAATTTAAGTTACCGGAATGTGTGGTAAATATTGTGGTTTCTTTTTTATGGTAACCTTGATTTCAGTCTCAATGCAAGAACCCAGAAGAGTGGTTTTGAAGGTCCCTTTTAAAAGTTAAGTTATATAGGGTTCGACAGTGGGTCTCCTTTTACGCGGACATGAATTAAGGGTTTAGGGTTTAGGATCTGTAGGATTCCTTTAAGGGTTTATTGTTTAGGATCTGTAGGATTCCTTTAGGGGTTTAGGGTTTAGGATCAGGATCCTTTTAGGCCCCTTTTAAGGGTATCTGTAAGGGTTCTGTCGCGGTTTTAGGGGTATAGGGGTTCAGGGGCTTTTGGGTTTAGGGTCCCAGTATTTTCGTGATTGCATGCATGATAGGGGTTACTCCAAATTTACAATCCCTGAGCCCTCAACCCTAAACTCTAAAAACCCGGAAGCCCAAACCCTTCTTCATTCCTAACCCGGCCCAAAACCCCAAAATCATTACATTGTCAACCCATATGCCCGAACAGCCCAGCACCCTAAGCAGAACTCGCTACGGCTCAAGTTTGGAGCCTTTGTACCCTTCAGGTGTCTCCGAAGGTCCGGCTGCCAGCGGCAGCAGGGCGGAGGGTTTTGCAAAAATCGGCAATGGGCGTCCAGGCTATGCGCCGTGGGCCCAAGAACCTGGACTGTTTGTCCTCCCCGAGTTGCATGCTTTGATGCTTTATAATTACAGTAAGGCCGACCAAGTTCAAGGCAAACTTTTGGTACCAATGGTCGGCATTCCACTATGGGCTATTAGACCTTATGGGTACCTTAATCTACCCTTAATAGGGTCCTAATAGGGATCTGTAGGGTCTAATAGCCCATAGTGGTTGGTCCATTTCTACTTTCTGCAACCCGCTGGAGGCTGCAAGGGACCGATCCAGCTTGGCGAATCTCCAAAGGTAACTATGTCGCCTCCCTGGAAGCAAAGTGAGCACCAGGTCGATTGCTTGTTGTCAGGGTGTAGGGCTTAGAAGCTTAGGAAGTTTAGGGCTTTTGAAGTTTAGGGCTTAGGAAGCTTAAGGAAGTTTAGGGCTTAGGAAGTTTAGGGTTTAGGGTGCTCACTTGGCGACTTCCGGAGTGTTGGGCAGCTGGCAGGGGGACACCATCGAGGGTAAATGTCAGCCCTGACACTTCCAAGCCCTCAAAGCTCAAATGCATAAAGCCTTGACCCCCAAATTAAACCCCAAACCCCAAGCCCAAGCCACTAAGAACCCACATCCACAAAGCACTGAACCCTGCTACCCACCCAAAACCCTAAACCCTAAGGTTTAAAACACCCAAATCCACGAAGTCCGAATCCTAACGCCTCTACATCCTGCTTGGGGCTTAGCTAGGACCATAGAAGCTTCAACTTTCTGGATACTCAGTCCTAGCCCCCGCTTCGGAAAAAAACAAAAAAACTAGGGTTTAGGGTTTAGGGTTTAGGGTTTAGGATTTAGGGTTTAGGGTTTAGGATTTAGGGTTTAGGGTTTAGGGCCCATACAGGAGCCCTTCAAGGAACCCTGAAATCCTACGCAGGACGACATCGTTCAGCGCATCCAGTCATCCCCGGCTTATCGGGGCTGAGCTGCCCAGATCTTCTAACATCCATTAAAAGGAAAATGTAACGTAGATTTTAGGAGGATCCCTAATATATGATTTGAGGTATATCCCCTAATTAAGTTTTAGGGAGGTCGCTTGCAAGTTCATGGGGACTTAGTAAGTTAGGTTCTAAGTAGCCTCATTGGGGTTACAAGTGGCATATATGTATAGTTACCTTGCTTATACCCCTTAAGTCCCACGATCCCTTAAGTAGATATCCCTCGTCTCCATAGCTGGCATCGACCCGCACCCGCTGGTGTAAACCCTAAACCCAGAACGCCAAAGTCTAACCCTAAGCTCTAAACATTGTAAAGCTCTACAGTGGCATTGCTGGGCTCTATAGAGGTGAATATAGAGGTTTATGGGATCTAGCAGTAGGGCTTCTATAGGCGATTCTCCTCAACGGTTTGCGGTTTTCGGGGGGGAGCGGGGTGATTTCGGTGTCTATCTCTTACAGATTTTAAGGGCTCTATCTGGATTTCAATACACTCAGGAAATGCGGAAGCTAAGACCCTTAAACGAAAGGATCCCTATTATAACAACGCCCCAAGAAGGCGCTAACTTTCACAAGCGCCTTGATAATTAGAATAGGTTTTGGGGCCCATGACGCTATGCTTATAAACTAGGCCCTCTCTCCAGCTGCGCAGACGTCGGTAGCGTCGTCGGCGTCGTCGTCCGTTGCAGCCGTCGTAGCTAGTACAGGCAGCACTATGGGGGCCTAAATAGTGACCAATACTATTTTGGTGGTTCCTTATCAATGATAACGTATGTGTACAATCCCCCAAAACCCTATCTTAAAAATTAAGGCCCATGTATTACTCCTAGTCACCGTCGCATTTGCGTTCGTGGGCTTAGCTGTGGGGTTAGGATATGCAGCTTGATATGTACGGACATGTTTGCACATGTACGTACGTTTCTGTATGGCAAGCAGGATTGAGAACGTTCGTAATAGCAGCCGGCCATTGTTTGCAGTGTTTGTATCCCTCTGGCCTGCCGTTTGTTTATGCAGGTACTATAGGGGCCTAAACAACTACCAATACTATTTAGGGGGTTCCTTAATATCACGAAAGTATAATATTCACCCAAAGCTCTATTCTAGCTTTTAAGTCCCCTACGTTATGTGTCTTTTCTTATATTCCTGACCTGGAAAAAAGTGTGATTTCGACATCAGGTTTAGGTGCGATCCTGTCACAAAAACCCTAGCCCAAGGGGATCAGGGCTCATGTCGTCCGGGGGTTCTGGGTATGAAGACTCACTGCGAAGAGTCTTCACAGGAATACACATCCTCTACCTCACAGTTCAACCTCCCACACGGCTCGTTTACAAGTTTGAGGAGCGCTCCAAATTTGGTTTATATTTAGGGTTTAGGGTTCAGGGATTACGGTTTAGGGTGTCAACATCAAAACCTGATTCAAAGTGCTGGAGAAAAGGTGGAGGATGGCGATTGCTTCCGTTCGCGGGAAGAACCAGTGGCCCAGCACCCCCCCCCCCCTCCCAAACCAAAAGTTTGGTTTGTTGTGTTTGGGTGCTTTGGATGTACTTGCCGAAGCGATATAGCTTGAACAAGGTAAACTTCAAACCCAAACATAAAGACCATCTCCAATCCGCACTTCCTTAAACCTAAAAGGGCTAACACCGCTTCGCAGAGCAGTCAGAACTTTCGAACACTTTGGATTTGGTGTTCGGAGTTTTCGGTTGAGGGGTTTAGTGATTCAGGTTTCAGGGCCTGGGTTTCTAAGTCTCTCAGTGCTACAGCAAGCTGGAAGGTTAGAGGCATCCGCTTGCTGTCGACAAAAAAGATCCGCTCTCTAAGCTCTAAACTCTATGCCCATATACGACCGACAACAGCCGGATTTAGCAAGTCGGCTGTACAGGCGATATGACCTACTAGGTATCTTGCTTGAGTGTATCCTCATTCCAACCCGACTTGCAACCCATTTAGGCCTAAAGCCCAGTATATCAGCTTCGAAAGCTGTTAATGCGGTATTCCTCATGAAGAAGCCGGTGTAGAACTCTCTGAAGGAACCCTATTCTCATCATAAAAGGGCCGTACATGCTAAGACCCTTCGAGGCCACAGGGTCTTCTCGAATCTTCACTCCAAGGGTAAAGGGAGGGACCCTTAATAGGGACCCCTAGGTATATACCCTTAATATAGCTATTATATACTCAATATATAGCCCATTATAGGGTAGGGGTCCCCATTAAGGGTCCCTCCTTTTCCCCTTTGACTCACGTCCATCAAGTGGACAGTGTCTCTCAGCCCCATGTGCGACGGCAGCCGATGTGTTCACAATCGTATGGGTTTCAGTGTATCAAGGTTCACCTAAACCCTAACCCCTAACCGTACATGCTAAACCCTGAACCCTGAATCCTGATATGGGAGTTTCCAAAATAGGGGATCCCAATATAGTACCCTGAAAAGCAGGACCCTGTTTGTAAGGACCCCAAAATAAGGTACCCACAATTTTCGGAAACACCAATATGGGTGGTTGTCAAGATTATAGCCCCTTTTTGGGTACCTAAACAATAGGTGCCCTGTTATATTTGGGACCCAAAGAAGGACCATAATTTTGATAACCACCCATATGTTTCTGGACGTGAGGGCCTCTTCGGTGCTGATGAGTTTCGGCGGCTGCACCTGCAGGGCCCAGTTTAGAGTTTAGGGCTTAGGGTTTGGGATTTAGGGTTTAGGGTTTAGGGGATGAGTTTGAGGCGGGGCGCGGTATAGCTACCCAGGCCGCTAGGAGGATCTAGAACGTGGATCCCTTAAGGGGGTTCCTATCAATAGAGTACTGTTTAGTAAAATAGGGTCCCCAACTAGGGGTTCTACTTTCCAGTCTTTTCGGGGGTCTTGGTAGTTGGTTGGATTTAAAGTGAGTGCCCAGCGCAATGATCACCTCCCCCACCCGTCCCTCTACTTGGAGGGTTTGGTTGCTTCTATTTACATAACCCAACTTTCTGCTGTTCTTGTAGCTCAGTTCGAGCTTTGCAACCTAGGTAGTGAATTTAGGAGGTTCACCAAAGGGTTATAGACACTGCTCCCCACACCCTGCTTTCACGACTCAATTAGTTAAACCTGTGCCTCATTTCCATTCTTTTCTCACGCAAGTTACATGCCCTGCGTGTGTTCGTTTGTTTTAGTCGATGTTGCCTTGCAGATTGACACCTCAGCCCATTGTAGTCGTCGTCCCCCCCACCAGAACAGTTGGTGCGCGAACAAATCCCATTCCTTCCCCGGTAGTTTCGCATTAAATTTTCGCATGCACGGACTGCTCACCAAAGCAAATGCCCACAAACGCTAGAAATTACTCTAAGCACCCTAACCTGAACCGTTTCATTTCGGGCCCTAATTTGCCGTCCGCGCATGATCGATCTGCGTGATGCCTCTGGGGCACCGCTGCCGAATCCCAAGCCTTTGATGTTCTGGCCCGGGTCGAGCAGGGTTGTGGTTGAAGTGGTTTAGCCTACCAGGACCCTCCTTGTACCCTCAAATAGTGGTATATGGTCCCAAATAAGGGGCATTTAGGGTCTAGTAGAGGTAGATGGAGGGTCTGAGCATAATAGCATTTCAAGTTGATCTTGAGAGGAGTTTAGAGTCGGGGAGTTACATGGATTTTCCGTGTAGCATTTCCCCACGCCCGAATTTAAACCTGGAATGCTAAACTACGGGTGCTGAAGCTTCATGGGCTTTGTCTTGCATTTGACCGGATTGGTTTGGAGTTAGGGTGCCATAGTTATCCCTGCAGGATTCCCTAATGTGAACTGTTTCGTTCATACTTAGAGTCGTATATGGACAAGCATAGTTCTTTACATGCAGGCACACTTGCATATGGGTAGTTCTCTAAATTATGCTCCCTGTTTAGGTCCCACAAAAAGTGCGACACCGACCCTAAAAGGGACCCTACTGAGAGAACTGCCCACATGTAAGGATGTTGGTGCGAACTACCAGGACCCTCCTTGTACCCTCAAATAGAGGTATATGGTCCCAAATAAGGGGCATTTAGGGTCTAATAGAGGGTAGATGGCGGGTCTAGGTGAGAGTTCTAATTTCGGACGCAGGATTTTAGGCTTGATGTTTTGTGGTCGAAGTGACAGGGCTTAGGGCTGAGCCCTTGGCGGTTCAGGGCTCCAGGATTTAATTTCTGCGGTTGCGGGCTCCAGGGTATGTCGACGTGGCATGAAGCCCTAAACCCTAAACCCTGAGGGATTTTGGACGGGTGCAACAGTAAGGGTGCCGCTAAGGCTTCAAGAGTGACCAACTAAGGCTGACAAGACCCCGCCCGTAAGACCCTAAGCCCTATAACCCTAAACCTTAAAACCCCAAACCCTAAGCATAAAACTTCAACGCCTATAGCCCTAACCGTAAAACCCTAACTTTTGTAGACCCCTAAACCCTAACTAACACTAACACCCTAGCCCCATGTGAGCCCTAAGCCGTAAGACCTTAGGAGGTCCTTTAAGAGTCGAGCCGGGCTGCCTTCTCGAACATGAAGGCCAGGCTTTCGCTGATCTTGGCTTAGGGCGCGCTCTCCAGATTTTACCTTAAGAACAGCACCGCAGCGCCCGAAGCAGGAAAAAAGCATGGGGCTTACAGGTGTAGTCTTATAGGAAAATCCCAACCCTGAGCCCTACAAAATGCTCCCCCTGCTTTTGCAGGCATGATGCCTCTCCGGGCTTTCGCTTAAATACAAGTACCGACATGGACACGCCTAGCCCCCCCTGATGCCCTGAACCCTGCATGCCAAAACCCTACACCCTGAACTGTAAAACCTCTAAAAACCCTAAACCCTGAACCCCTAAACCCTTAAACCCTACCTTAACCCCCAAGCACCTACCACCTACCTTGGACCTTTTTAGGGTTCCTTGATATGACTTCCCTATAATATACGTCTTTGAAAGGGTGGGATATTCAGGGTTAAGGTTAATTCTTTTCTAAGGAATCCACCCAAAATCATAAATAAACATCCTCCTATGGTTGAAGGCA